CCTTTCACAACTTCCAAATCCCCGAACTGGGATAGGGTTAAGTCCATGAGAAATTAGGACCTTAATTTAACTATTAATGCTTTAATGCTGAGATATTTCTTGCTTTGATTATTTTGCTCTTCAAATCAGAATATGGAGATTTATGTTTATTCCTGAAATAATCTTTGTCTGAATTTCTGGGATAGTTAGTTATTATTTACACAATTCATATTCAGACTATTGTCCACATCTTTATTGTTGTTATCACAATGTTTCAACTGATGTACCCTTCATCAGGTGTATCTCAATCTGAGTAACCTACAGGGAATTTTAAACTGAACCCTTTATTTAATCTATGGGGGAAGACTGTTCTCATTCCACTATCCTCAATATCCTTAAACATGGCCAGTGGCACAAGAACAGTCTGTCCCCATAGATTAAATAAAGGGTTCTAAATTTCTAGGATGTGGAGTTATCATTATGTACACTATTTATATTCAGACTATTGTCCTCATCTTTGTTGTTCTTATTACAATGTTGTTGTTAAATGAAATAGTAATAAATACTAAATGAGGATTTATAATTATCTACACTATTTATATAGGATGTTCTAATAAATTGAACCAATTTTAAATGTGAATTAAGTTTAATCATCTAATGATTTTTTTCTTTTTCTTTCAGATTTAAAACTTAAGTCTTTGACAATTTAAACCATGGAAAAATTAACAATCAAACAATGTGTTAGAGTTATCAAAGCCTATTATGAAAATGGACATTCAAACAGAAATGCATTTTGTGCACTTTGTGATTTTTTTTTGGTCAACATAATCAACCAACAGAGAGTGCAATTGAAAAAATTGTAAATGCAAACAAACTGGGTCAGTGGTAGATGTGAAAAACACCATTGTGTGCTTGTTCATTTATCTGAAAACATTGCTGTAGTGCACGAGAATGTGGCTGAAAATCTAGACACCTCTATTCATCATCATGTGCAGGAATTGAACTTCTCCACAACAACGTTACATTGAATTTTGACAAAAAATTTGTCTCTACATGCTTACAAAATTCAATTGGCACAAGAACTAAAACCTGCTGACCATTTGGAGCACTGTATATTTGTCAATTGGGTGCATGAGCAAAGACAAGCTGATGAAGATTTTTCACAAAAAATCCTCTTTATTGAGGAAGCCCATTTTCAACTTGGTGGATTTGTTAATAAGCAGAATTGTTGCATTTGGACTGATGAAAATCCAAGGAAGATTGTTGAAAAGCCACTCCATCCACAAAAAGTCACTGTTTGGTGTGCATTTTTTTCTAGCAGAATCATTGGACCATATATTTTTAAATTTGAATGTCCATTTTCATAATAGGCTTCGATAACTTTAACATGTTGTTTGATTGTTACTCTTTCCATGGATGAAATTGCCAAAGACTTAAGTTGTTAAATCTGAAAGAAAAAGAATAAAATTATTAGACGCTTAAACTTAATTCACATTTAAAATTGGTCCAAGTTATTGGAACACCTTATATTAAGACTATTGTCCTGATCTTTGTTGTTGTTATCACAACATTTCAGTCAATGTACACTCTGGCTTTCATTAGGCATATGTCAATCTGTGTAATCTACAGGGAATTATGACCTGAACCCTTTATTTAATCTATCGGGGTTGACTGTTATTCCACTACCCACAATTATCCCTAGACCTGAGTAGTGGAAGAAGAACAGTCTATCCCTGCAGATTAAATAAAGGATTCTGAATTCCCTGTAGGTCACCCAGATATATACTTGATGAAGGCCAGTGGGCACAATGGCTGAGATGTCATGATAACAAAAAACAAAGATGATGACAATAGTCTGAAAATAAATAGTGTAAATAATGTTGTTTGCATTTCTTGTTTAATCCTCAGTCTTTATGTACAGATTCTGTCGTCAACATGCAAATAATCCTTTCAATAATCCATTTAGCAGTGCTTGATTCTGAGAGCAGGCTCACTTGAACTGTCATTGATGTAAGATGACGATAATACAAAATCTGCTTATTCATATTCCACCTTGAATTAGAAGGAATTAACACGAAGTAGTTAATGAAAAAGGAAAAAAAAAACTTAGGGAAAATCAAAACAATAGTGAATGATTTACAATTAATTTTTTGCTTTTTAATGAAGATTGAAGAGATTATTATTAAAAGGATAATATTGTTAGATATTTGTCTTTTTGGAATAATCATTTTCTTTAAATGAGTAATTTTTCTCCAGTTTAAAGTGTTTCAGCAACTGTGTCCCTACCCGCAAAAAAAAACAAAAAAACCACACACTTTTCAAGAGGATTTTACATTTAACTATATAGTTACTGATCAACAGAAACTGGATCAACAACAGAGGTAAAGAAGTTTTTATTACAAATTGATCCATTAATATTGACATGAGAAAGATATAAATGATATGGCTATCAAATGATCCATCGGATACTTATCTCTGCCAGAACAAAAAGCTTTCCCAGGTTGATAGAATAGTAACTGACAGAAGGAAAATTTTATCAGCAGCAGTACAACAAAGAAAATATGATATCAACTTTTCGCTGCCGTTATCAGATTATGCAATACAATCAGCCATTGAAAGCTGGATAAACTGCCACCTTTGCAGAATAGACAAAAACCTGACAAATTTTGTTTGGGTGTTAAAGGTCAAATTAGCTAGAGAACTTGCTCTTCCCTATCCTTTTCTTCCTCCTTAGTAAAACCTCTTCATATTTTATCTTTCATTTTAATCACTGCTTTTTCTCTGGTTTCTTCCTATTATCTGATTTTATTTTTCTCCTCTCCTCTTCCTACCACCTTTTTCTTATTCCCTTCCCCTTATTCATTGTCTATGTTGCTGCTTCTTTCTCTTCCTCTACTCCAATTTCCTTTCCACTCTTTTCTTTACTTGCTTCATTCTCTTTGTTTTCATTTCTCAACCTTCATTTCTTTTCATAGAGCATCTTTTCTTCTTCTCTTTCTCTCCCCCATTTTGTCACATCATTTCCATTCTTTTTTTGGCTTTTTTTTTTTTTTTTTCTCTTTTTTGTCCTTGTTTTTCATCTATCCACTTTTTCACCTTCTTTATCTCTTACCCTTCTCGTATTCTCCCAACTATTTGATTTTTTCCTTCAATAATCCTCACCAGATGTAGCCACCAAAATATCCAATTGAGTTCAATGTGGTAACAGGTCTTTTGAAACACTTGTGGCATTTCACACTGAATCTGAACCACAAAATATTCAGGAATGGACAAGTTTCATTTTCCTTTTCATAGAAATGTTAATTTTGAATGAAGTATATAATAATAATAATGACAATGATAATAATATAAGAATAAATAGAATAAATAAATTTTTACTTTAAAAAAAGGGGGGGTCACACAACTATTTCATGTTTGTAACACCCTATTTATCATCTCTCAGTTGCATGACTGTCTTTGGGCAGAGTGTGTGGGTAGCCCGGGTGTACACACTCAGGTTACCCATATTAAACTGACCTTGTGTCACAACACAACCTCATGGGGAGTTGAGTAAATACAAATTACTAAAGTCTTGGTTGCAAGGCACAAGGTGTGAAAGAAATAGCAAGACATTAGCTAGATGAAGACACCATTGCCACTAATGTTTTACCATTATGTGAAATGTATTTCTGCCACACTGTAGAAAGCACAACTCTGATACTTTTTTTCTCAAAAAAAGTAAAACTAAAAGATTTCATTTTTTTTGCTCATTTATATATATATATATATATATATATATATATATTCTTCTGTCTCTTTCCCTATGATTATTTTCTTTCATTTTTCTCTTCATTTTTGCCTGTGCAGCAAATCCCTCTATATATAAATCTTATCTATATTAGACTCTCCTACCTAAGTTTTACCACTGTGGCACTTCTATACCTTTTTTTGGAAGGAAGTTCCTCTGCCTTTTGATTAGTCTTTATTTTTTTTATTTTTTTTTTTTGTAAAAACAGCCTGATTGACTTCTCTTCATTCCTCTTCATTTTTACTTTTATTTCTTTCATTCTTCCAGTAATCTTTTTCTTCCTCCAACCTGCCCATTCCTCTACAACGACTAATCTCTTTCACTCATGTTCATTCTCCTCCTTTTTATTGCTCTCTTTTTCACCTATTTCTTTTATCCTCTTCCTTGTTTATACTTCCGCTTTTTATCCAATCTCATTTTAATTCTTACCTCCCTTCTCCTCACAACTGCTTCCCTACAGTCCTGGTCTGATGCACACACAAAGGCTCACATTGTCAATAGACAATGGAAGGAGGATTGCCTGCATGTATGACAGAGTGAGGTGTGTATGCCTGTGTGAGAGAGAGGAAGAATAGAGAAAATTATTGATTAGATCTGAAGGGACCAAGATTAAAAAAAAAAAAAAGAAAAAAAGCCAGACACCAAACCAACTCCATAGGAAGGAAACTATTCAGGAGTGTCTTTAAGAACCAAAAACAAACTCTGCCCAGTTTACTATTTTCTCCTCCCACTTTCATACTTTCAATTGTGACTTACAACAATTAAGCATCCAAGAAGGTAAGCCGTCTTACAAGTTTTTCTTTCATCCAATCATCTGTTGTCTTGAAACCAAAACAAACAGGTAGCTGTTAGAGTGAGTGAGTGCATTATATTTACTTAGTCTCGGAGTCTTTGTTTAGTTTAAAACTGCAAATGAGAAGCAGTTGCTCTGGACATACAATTACTCATCCTCAGCAAATCACTTGATTTGGTTTTTATTCCTTTCTTGAAGCAAAAATACTGTCCAATGAAAGAAAAAAATGTCTTTTGAATTGATTAAAAATAATGCTATCAAGTGAATATGGATGTGTGTGCGTGGGAATAAATTTGTACATGCATCTTTCACTGAGAAGCCTGGGTATTTTTTTATTTTTTCCAGAATAACCAGATTTGAAATGCAATCAAAAATACAAAGAATGTTCATGGTAGAACATTTTTTCTTTCAAATTTGGCAATTTTTTTCCCCTAACAATTCCTACTTTGAAAGGAGGGAAAATAGAAAGAAGTTTAAATCACTGGGAGAATGAAATAAAAGAGTGTGAATAAATGAAAACAAGTAAAAGAAAAAAATATAGGATAGAAAAAAAAATTGACAAGATAGAAAGCAAAAGAGAAAATGAAAGGAGTAAAATGTGAGAAGGAAGACGAGAGAGAGAAGACGAGAGAGAGAAGACGAGAGAAGGAAGACGAGAGAAGGAAGACGAGAGAAGGAAGACGAGAGAAGGAAGACGAGAGAAGGAAAACAAGAGAGAAGACGAGAGAAGGAAAACAAGAGAGAGAAGACGAGAGAAGGAAAACAAGAGAGAGAAGACGAGAGAAGGAAAACAAGAGAGAGAAGACGAGAGAAGGAAAACAAGAGAGAGAAGACGAGAGAAGGAAAACAAGAGAGAGAAAGACGAGAAAGGAAAACAAGAGAGAGAAGACGAGAGAAGGAAAAAAAAAGAGAGAAAGACGAGAGAAGGAAAACAAGAGAGAGAAGACGAGAGAAGGAAAACAAGAGAGAGAAGACGAGAGAAGGAAAACAAGAGAAGGAAGCCAAGAGAGAGAGAGAGAGAAAATGAAAGAAAGAAAACGAGAGAAAGAAAGAAAACAAGAAAGAGAGAAAATGAAAGAAAGAGAGAAAACGAGAGAAAGAAAGAAAATGAGAGAGAGAGAAAAAGGATGAAAGAGAGAAAACAAGAGAAAGAAAATGAGAGGGAGAAAAAAAACAAAAGAGTGAAAAAAAAAAAGGGAGTAAAAATGAAAGAAGGAAAACTTTGGAGACAAGCAACATATTACAAGTAATAACTATCATCTGAAACTCAAGTGCATCTTTATGAAAAATCTGTTTTGATAAAATGCAATGGAAAGAAGAGTAGGGAGAGGACTATTGTTCAGCATTTCATTTCAAATTGAATCGTCCAGCCATGGCCATCAGCTAAAGATTTTACTATTTACCTTGAGCAGGGGCAACTTGGCATGGTGTAATGGTTAGCAAGCTTGTCTTGCTATATCAGTTACGACTGAAAAGTGAGTTCGATCCTCACTAGGTGCTCCATACTTTCGGCCTTGTGCCACATCTAAGCTACTCTTAGAAAATAGCTATATAAGCTGGGCTTAGAAAAATCACTATTTACCTTGAGCACATTGAAAAAATCCAAAGAAGAATCTGCGATGTCAATGGTCCTCACCTGGCATCTCAGCTCCAGTCACTTTCCCACTGTCATAATGTAGCTTGTCTGTGCCTTTTCTATAAATACTTTCATAGCAATTTTTCTGATAAGCTTTCCTCTATGGCACCTAGAATGTATGAATTTAAGCAAGTACTAGATTGGTGTCGAGATCTCATCAATTTATAGTTGAGCTGGCTAGATATAACTGTAAATTTTATGCTAGCAGTTTATTTTCTTGCACTTCTTAACTGTGGAACTTCCATCTGGCTCCATGCTTTTCAGCTAACTTTCATCTTCAAAAATTTAAATGCAATGTTAATCGCTATCTACTGTCCTCCTGATTACTCATTTTGTTCCCACTTATTAATAATCTTTTTATTTCTAATTCTTCTGCCACCCAGTAATCCCTTGTGTTTTAGTAGCTTTACTGCCTTGCATGGGGCGAAAATGATTTAAAAAAAAAAAAAAAGTTATTTCAAAGTAACTGATCTTCCTGTTAGTTTGAGTCTTATATGACAGAATATGGAACAAAATTTTACGTACAATGAGGCCCATTTCTGTGTTTAGTAAAGGCTTATACATCAAATTCTTTCCTAGAGATGTCCAGTTCGATGTATAAGCCTTACCAAGCATAGAGATGGTAGAACAGGTCATAAAAATGGTACAATAGGGTCTGTACTGCCCTGTTTTACTAGAAGAGAAGAGTTGGGGCATTTTCTAAATGCTTGTACTAAAATGACTGTGTGTCATTTAACAGATCATGTATTTGGTTTAAATTATGGCATTACTTAAATTGACTAATCTGTTCATGAAAAATAGGGAAAAATGTTTTGCAGGGATAGGGGATAATTTTTGTAGGTTAGTATTCATTAGACCTTCCTTTAGCTTTGATGGCTTACAGCCATATTACGTTGAAACACTGATTCTCATACAATCATTGAAGTAATGTTGAGCCTGGTCAGATGGGAAACCACTTGGGAATACTAGGTGCTGTGGGTGGTATAATGGATAAAGGCTGTTAATTGGAGAGCTGAGTTCAAATTCCAGTCAGGTTCATTATATTCACATATGTGTGATTACTCTTGGGACAGGTATGAATCCACCTCTTCGCCCACCATCTCTGGGTTAATTAGTAAAACTTCTATCAGTAAACCATTATTATCTCAAAAAAATTCTTAGAATCTAAAACTACAAACTAAACAGCAAAACTACCAACACATGTGATTTTAGTGGTGAAGGCTTATGCAGAACCAGCCATACTTTTTAGAAGAACCACTTACACACAAATACTCTTTGGGAAAGGGATAAATCTACCTTTTCTTCCCTCAGCTATGAGTTAATTAGTAAGACTTGTATCCCTAAACCATTATTATCCATAAAAAAATTCTTTCAATCTAAAAATATTTTCTGGCTTTAAATAACCTGCAAAGGGTTGAGAAGAAATAGAAAACAAATCAATCAATCTAACCACGATATTTATCATTTTAGAAAGTGGGGATGTTCATGATATAAATACAGTATCAATTCGATCCCTGACTATGGTTTTTCAGTTGTTTTTTTTCCATTGATAATTGCATACTATTATAAATTGGAATAAAGGACATCATTAGTAGTATGCAGTCATCAATGACACAAACACGATTTCAAACATGACATTTGTTAAAAAAAAAAAAAAAAAAAACCCTAATAAGATAAAGATTTGATACTGTATTTATATTATGAACAAGACCCTCCCCACATCTTCTAAAATGATAAAAGAAAACAAAAAAAAAAGAAAACAAAAAAAAAAAGAAAACAAAAAAAAAAGAAAACAAAAAAAAAAAACAAAAAAAAAAAAAAAAAAAAAAAAAAAAAAAAAAAAAAAAAAAAAAAAAGAAAACAAAAAAAAAAGAAAACAAAAAAAAAAAAAAAAAAAAAAAAAAAAAAAAAAAAAAAAAAAAAAAGAAAAAAAAAAAAAAAAAAAAAAAAAAAAAAAAAAAAAAAAAAAAAAAACAAAAAAAAAAAAGAAAACAAATCAATATTTTTTTATTCTGACAAATGCTCTGGGTAAAGGAAGGTCTAATGAATGCCAACCTACAAAAATTATTCGCCTTAAATTTTTTCCCAGCTTTTTTAATGAGCAGACCAGTTAACTTAAGTAGTTCCAAATTATAAACATAAAACAAGTTGTCAATTTCAAAAAGCAAAAACAAACTTGCTTATTTTTCTTTGCTTTGCTTAGCTGAAATAACAGACAAAAAGATACAAACTATGAAGCTTTTTAGAAAAACCTGTTTTCTCATGCTGAATCGGAGTAATAAGAAGTAAAACAAAATAAGCCATCACCGTATTCACCAATGCTAATGTCTCTTGCACGTGCCTGGGGCTGTTCCTGGATTCAAAGTATCAATTTTAAAATCTGGCACTGATCATTGTCCTTTAATGAAAAGGTATATATACTTTCCCCACAAACCTGTCAAATGACAGGAAATATGGAGACTGCAGAAATTACTGACAGTCTATTGGATTCAGGTTACAAGAGGAAAAGAGATTTAGTGCCTAGTAATTGATAAAGAAAAATTGAAAGAAAAAACTGTGAATAATGACTTTGCTGGCATAAAGTAGGGTTTATATTGCCTGACTGAACTTAGTTTGACAATCTCTTTATTCTTGGTTTTTATCCTCATCACTTAATACCAGTTAATTGGCATAAAAATACAGGCTGTCAGAGATGTAAACCTCAAATCTAAAATGAAATGAAATACATTTAAAAATAAAATTATTTCCGTGGTAACAATACCAAATTAACTTTAGTGTCAAATTGAGAAAAGTTTTCTTTCTGTTTACATGCAACAATCTTAAATTCTCAGGTGAAATTCTGCTTTTAATTCAAAGTAAGTATTCTACCAATGCACAGACTATTGTCATCATTTTTGTTGTTATCACATTACGGTCATTGTGCTCCCCAATCATATCAATTTTGGTAACCTTCAGGGAATTTCAAACTAAATTTCTTATTGTTCTCATTCTGCTGACATTCCCTAGGCAAAGTGGAATGAGAACAATCTACTCCTGTAGATAAAAATAAAGAGTTCAGTTCATAATTCTCTGATCGACAAGCACCTGATGAAGGCTGGAGGGCATCATGGTTGAAAGGTTGTGATAATATGACAACAACAAAGATGAAGACAATAGTCCATATGTAAATAATGATAACACCTTGTTATATAGGAATAAAGTGTCACTGCCGACACTTGAGTTTCAACATAGACTGCCAACACAGGCAATCCCATTATTGAATTAAGTAGACCACTTGACCATAGAGGAAACGCATAAGTAGGAAGTCATATGACATCTAACTGATCATCTTTTCTAGTCTATCCTCTATTACTATTCAGATCACTATTTCTCAATTAATATACGGACCGCTATTCTCTACTCTATTCCCTATACTATTTCTCTATTCAGATCACTATAGTGTTGAGTATTATTGAGAAATTACTATTAGTGCGAGTGCTATTTGAAGGGATCTGACACCAGCATTGTTCAATGGTGTACTATAGTTGCATCTGTGATTACAAAGTCTCTACTACAACGAGCATTATGAAAGTGACAACAAGTATTCATTGACATTACAAATGTGTCAACGAGTATTCGTTGACATCACAAAACATCTCATCCCAGAAATTCAGACAGAAGTATTTTATGACATAATAGGAGTAGATAGGTTTGCCTATAGTCTGGTTCACACTCCTCATTGGTCTTTTGAACAGGAGTAGAGATTTATCCTTTTTTCCTATTTAGGATTGGGTTTCTGGTTCCTTCTAAAGTCTGCTTCAGCTCTATATGCCTAACATTTGTTCTTTCCTAAGCTAAAATAAGTCCACACTGTAAACCTCTATCTTGAGTGGCTCTTGGGCCTTATATTGCTTGAACATTAGTAAAATATATATGTATATAATTTACAGTATGATCTACAAAATAAATCTTTTTTATAGTCTTAGACAAGATTAGTTTTTGTATGTGCTGCCATGTAGTTGAAATAGTTGTGCATTTTCTACTGGTGCCATAGCTTATTGTTCAAATCAAAGTAAAAATCAGAAATTCAAAGGGTGATTTTCAAAGCAAGCAAGCTTTTCTCACATGGAAATCGGGAGCAGCACAATCTTTCTCAGCCAAGTACTGTATTTGATGGCATATAAGACACACAGGTGTCTAAGACGCACCCCAATTTCAGCAGGGAAAATCAGGAAAAAATTAGGAATTCGTAAAATTATTAGTAAATGGTATAGCCTAGTCTATATTTATGAGGTATTATTTTGGTTAAACAAGCCATGAGTATAATTAAATGGAAAATAATAGGAAAAAGAAGAACATGAGCCTATAAAAACTTTATTATATCCAAAGGTAAGTAAATAAAATAAAAATCAAGCAATTATTATAATTGGGCAAAACAGTACAGTTACCATTAAAATTTTATTCATCTTCAAATTCATAAAATGCATCATCTTCATTATTAAAACTTTGATACTCATTTTCAATACTACTATCATTGTCATTAAATAATGCGTCATCTTCTGTTCCATTGATAGCATTGCTAATGCCACACTTTTTAAAAGATTTCATAATTTCTGGTCTAATA